ACTGAGATTTTTTCAGCCTTCTTTCTGTAAATTCTTTCTGACTACTGGGCGTCTGGGTCCCGAAGGGGCCTCTACGGGGAGGGGTCTATTTTAACTTTCACAGTTCTTTTTGCTGTTGTTTCCATTGTTTCTATCTTTTTGTCTTGTTTCTTTACCCATACAAACGATAGACATGATAGATACTCAGTTTTGTTCTAGAGAAGATTTGTGACAGATTTTTTTGTGACAGATTTGTGACAGATCCGACAGATTTGTGACAGATTTGTGACAGAACCTTTCGGCACTCCGCGGAAACTCCGTCATGGTGGGCGGTGTGGTTTCCTACGGAGAAGGTGCAGATTAGTGGAAGCAGCTCTCCCTAAATCGGGAGGAGGTGGGTGGGTTAGCGGGGTCTTTGACCCCTGCCGTGCGGGTGGTAGGGGGCAGCTGCCGGAATAATGGATTAGGGTTAGCTATTTGTTTCATCCTGAGAGGCTTTAAGTTTCGTCATCATCCACAAATTTCTGCATAGAATGGCGAGCATAGCGCTGCAGGGGCTTCCTCATGGAGGGCGGGGAAGCATCCGTAAACGAGTTGGTGCAGATTGAGGGAGAGGATTACCCTAAATCGCGAGGGGGTGGGTGGGTTTGTGGGGCTTTTCGGCCCCTGGCCCCCTGCCGTGCGGGAGGTAGGGTGATCCCCTGGATTGCAAAAACAGCATCGTGCTGGGAGTTGGTGGTTTTGGTAATGGAGAGGGTGGGGAAGGGCTATCTGCTCTGAATCGCGAGGAGGTGGGTCGGTATTGCAGGGGTCTTTGTCTGCATATCGGGCCCTTTGGACACAGACCCCTGCCGTGTGGGAGGCTGGGTGGGTTGGCAGAAGTTCGTGTTAACTTTGGGAAAGTTTGGATGAATAGGGACATAAAAAAGTGTGTAATGTTGGCTGTTTGTTTCCCTTTTTTTGATTAAAAGAGAAAAAAATGGAAGAGGGTTGTGTAGAGTTTGTCAAATAGTGTTCAGTGTACCGTTTAGGAAGACACGGAGGTTGGTCCCACTAGCAAAGATGGTCCGATCGAATGCCGGAATCCGTATGAGGTTATGGAGGTGTGCAGGAAATTGAGATTGAAATGCTTTTCTGCATCTCTCCATAAAACACATCCAGATTCAGGAGCTCGATCCTATCCTTTTGGCTAATGGGACCTCGGGCAAGGCTTGTTGTAGTTGTGGATTGTTGGCGGATCACTGGTGGTCCCCGGGGAAGGTTCGACCGGCGATGCCTTATTCTCTCACGGGGGCCGCGCATTTTTTGTGAGGGACGCCAGACCCGGTTCCCAGCTTTTATACAAACTTCTTTTCTGCAAAAGGCAGTTGCCGTCCCCCACCCCACCAAAAAAAAAAAAAAAAAAAAAGGGAAACCATCAGGCAGGTGCACACAGGATAGGTGGGATAGCTTTTTTTTTTTGCTTTTTGTTTCCCGGCTGGGATAGCTTGTGGACATCAGACAAAATTGAAGTGGTGAAGAGAAGATCAGCATCATCCTTCCAGGAAAATGGCATTTACAAACTGAGTTAAGAAAGAGAAATATTAAATCGAGTTTAATAAACTGAATAAAGCCAAAAAAACGAAAAAGCTGAGACCTTGAAGGTGAGTTTCTCAGGCAGGTACACTAATGCAGAGTCCAGACCTCTTTTTTTTTTTTTTTTTTTTTTTTTTTGGACCATTTCTCGATTTATGCGTGCCATCCTTCCGCAGGGGCCATGCTAATCTTCTGTGTATCGTTCCAATTTTAACGGATGTCTCGAAGGACCACTAATCCAGACCTCTTTTCTCACTTTTTTTAACTTTTTTCTGGACTGATCAGACCTTGAAAAAACCTGTGTGTGGTTTCATGGGTCGTTACCTGCTTGATTATGTTGAGAGAGAGAGAGAGAGAGAGAGAGAGAGAGAGAGAGAGAGAGAGAGAGAGAGAGAGAGAGAGAGATGTGTCCATTTGGTGACTATCCTTGTCATTTCAGGACAGCAGCAACATTGAGGCTCTGCGATTAACAGTTTTATACATGATGACGAAAGAGCACAGACCGACGGTTGTGGCAAAACGAATCAGCGACATTATTGACAGCATCGAGCGGAATGAGCCAAGAAATGCACGTCTATGTTACAATGGTGAGTTTTTAAGCCACCACTAAAATAAATAAATAAAGAAATACAATTAAAAATAAATCACCACGAGCTCTTGCAGGGAAACGTTTGTGACAAATTGGTTTACATAGTTGCATTCCAATTCTTCAGGGCCTTGTGCGCCCACACAGTTTGGCTTGAAAAGGTTAAACCACCCCAGTACTGCAATCAGACTCGTTTCTTTTCACACTTCACATGCATGCAAACAGGTAGCGCAGCAAACTGGCGACAAACGCCCACTCAAAACTCAGAGATATGGAAACCAAGAACACAGTTCAGATACAAGTTCGCTTCAGATGGCTATGGCGCATCAGCGCCTGTACGATTCCCTGTTCACCACTGCGCCCCACTCTTCTATTCACTCACCCTCAACTGAGGATCACCCTGGATATCCCACACGCGTCACACTGTACACACACGCGCACACACACATGCTACACTCTTCTATCAGCCATGGCGGCTATTGCCGCTGCTACCCCTATCGCTATGGCTAAGCTCTCCTTCTCGCCCACTTCGTCTTTGGGCATACTGCAGACCACCTCGCACAAGTCGCTGCGGCAGCGCTTCCTTATGGCTTACGCAGGAATTGAATGAATGGCTGGGCGCTGCCTCTTGATTTATACTTCTGTAGCTCGTTGGTCTGCCCCTTTCCCATGCCCCTGGTGCACACAGTCCCACACGGTACTTGCTTGACTGGACTGAGACTGACTGGGACTGGGTACCGCTGACTCAGCACTGGTGGACTTCGCCACTTGCCCACTTGCCTCGGTCTACTGTGGGCAGTACCCGAAAGGCCACTTCCGGACCTTCCGGAAGACCATGGACTTGGCCTTTCGGTACTGTAGCAGCTACGACCCTTCAGGACCGTAACAGCTACAACCTTGACCCTTCGGAGGAGCTACAGCTACGACTTCTAGAGCTCACTAGGACTCCTATCCGACAGGTCTACAGATCGAACCCCTATAACCTACAGATCTACGACAACCTACCAACTGTGGGGAAAGACAGGTCGTGGGTTCAAGTCCTGGGGTCGACACAGATACTGTACACAGGTAGGGCAAGGTCTAGGGATCAAGCCCTGGGATCTGCATCGGCTACTGCAAAGGTGGAATCCGTTTCAGTACTATCGTCCATGGAAAAAAATACAGTAGAAAATAGGGTAGAAAACTTCGAGTCAGATGAATTATTTGGGCGCTCCTGTCGTGGGCCATATGTTTCCTAAAATCATGGCTCGTTAACGGTTTCCTATAATTGTGGCTCGTTCACGGGCACGACTTTAGGCAGTACTGGTGGTTTAAAAAGAGCGCCGAAAGGTGGCGTTGTGAGGAAACGCGGGGAGGGGCTACCTACTGTTCGCTGAAGCCATGGGCTACGGCGCCCGTCACTTCGCCGCCCCCGCTTCCGAGGTCCTCATCGACAAGTAGGGTTGCTGGCTTTGTTCCGCCCGTCACGTTACCTTGCGGAGACGCCAGGAAAGACACTCCCTCCATATCAGGACTGGATTCAATTCTCAGAGATCAGCAAGAGTAATTGTGCGCCTGTTCTAACCTCTATTCCCAGTGGTCAGCAAGGTCAACAGCCAATGAATACAGGACCMTGTTCACTTGGATGATCACAATTAACAGCGGAACATAGCTAAGCCCGATTCGATCTGCCTAGTGCAGATGTCCGCACATCAATTTCAGTCTTCCTTTAKAATTATCACAAAAAAWAAAYAAATTAAGTGAACGAAAGGAATCTAATCTCAGTTCGAGCAGCAGCACACACAGGCCAAAACAAGTCCCGCTGTAATCAACCCGAGGTTCARCACCTCGTTCACAGCTCAATCCTCTGCGGATAGCACGTTTATTCGAAAGCCAAATTTAGACTTGTCTYACTGCGTTCGCCTAAAAGGACAACATGGGTAATTTCAAGTCAGAACGAAAGTTAACTTCCCCCAAGCACTCCCTGGTCTTTACCCCCCGGTYTTTTCCCACTGCTTTCTCACTCSAAATATTMTCTCTCTGTCACACAGCCAYTCAGTCCCCCTTTTCCTCCCWACTCTTTCKCTGTTTCTCTCTTTCTCKCTCTGCGTTGTTTTACTGTTCTCTTTCTTTCTCTCTCCGTTTCGTTGTTCACTCTCTCTCACTCTCTCTCCCTGTTCCYCTTRCTCTCTACYGTCCCCCCATTATGAGTWGGAAAGGGAAAAGAAACATGATAAGGCGAAAGGGGACCACCCCCTATGCCTCACTAGGTTGCAGTCTTTTCGGGATAAATATCGACCGTCAATAAATAAATCATCTTGGTCATGGAACATTCAATGCGACATTCCCTTATGTCGTTTGGTTCACCGCAGTTCAGTCTATTGGTTGACGGGGGGGAACTCGGCTTTTCCGAATTTCCCCGCCTCAAAGAACGTGAGTCAGAGTTCGAAACATTGGATTCCCGAAGGATAGCTTGTCAGAAAAGATAATAAATAAAGAAACAATATTAATAATAATAATAACCAAAATTGTTCTGTCTGTCTACTTCCCGGTTCCTTGTATCTCTCTCCCTTCTCACACTCCCTTTCTGCACACTCCCCACTCTCTTTCCCTCACTATGCCCTTCCCCTCTTATCAGAGCTAAACATACCTGTTGCCTGCCAGTTCAGTGATCTCGCCTACTATTGGAACTGACTCGTTTCCGCTGGCAACGATTACTCTTGATAGACTGGCCAGCGGATCACTCGAAACCCGCCGGAAGGTAGCGTAGCTCGTTTATGTTCAACCCTGCGTTCGAGTCCAATCAGAGTCTTGCCATTCCGTTCATCTCACTTGCATGGTACACCGATAATCGTTTTTCTSAGTCCAGTTAAGCCTCTGAAGGGCCCGCTGGTCCAGACAWGGCCCGTCTCGCGATTTTTKATCTCTTACCTGGCGGCGAGGAACGCGCTGTCCGAAAGYGATATTGTCTAATCGGAGGCTCGCCTTCAAAAGTAATGAGGAAACCTTGATTGTMCACCAACAAAGGTAACGTGGAATAYTCTCTCAGCCGCATACAGCGTGAATGCGAAAACGTCGATTGGCTGAGAGAGTGACCGCGTTCGCCCGCAGTGGGAGTGTGAAACGCTTGACTGRCTGACCCTTCGTCAGTACCTCCCCCCTCCTCCCCGGGGAGGTTGTACTCGAACGATTGTTTGTYGCGGTCCTCTATTCCTTGATCTCAGGAGCGAATCGGTGCTCTTCCTTCTATAATCAGATCGGTTCGAATTTGAAGGGYCTTTCCTCCCTGCCRGATCAGAACCCRATTATAGAGCCTGATACGCCGTGGCTGTCYACGTCAGACAAGCTATGTCGCCCGAGACAACTGAGAGGATCTCGAGTTCGCCCGACACACTTCTCCGAAAACTCTCTGCTCCCTCCGCTTCTCTCACTTTCACAGATCCCCCTCCCCTTTCGGTTTGGGCGCCTGCTGCCTTTTCTTGCTCATTCTCTTTTCTCCCCTCCCTCTTTCTCTCTTCAATTTTCGCTTTTTCTCTCCCACTCACCACTAGTCACTCACTTCCCCCCAAACTGCTCCGTCACCCGCAATACAAGAGCGTTATTTTTGCACGCACTACGGCCACGGGAGCAGTCCCTTCCTCCGCTCGTTCTCGCGGTGTAGTCAGCAGCGTACACCAGGCGCGCCCCCCTCGACACCGTCCTCATCACTCATCCCAACGCCCTTCTCCATGTCTAGCGGCGACGGGGTCTGAGTACACCCTGCTCACCGCCCATCGTGAGCGTAACCGCTTGATCCCCACTCGTCTCCTGCGCACGCCGTGCATTCCCCCGTCCAAGCTCGCCTCGTCTTCGTTACCTGCAACTGCCTGCGTCGAGTCG